ACACACACACACACACACACACACACACACACACACACACACACACATATATCTCACACATACATAGATATCCTTTGTGTCAGCTTCCTAAGCACTGGGATTACAGGTTTGAATTTCCATACCCAATTCCAATTTATAAAAACCCACAACTGCAAATACAGTTATGTGATAAAGCACTTGCCTAGCAAGAGAGCCTGAGCCCAATACAAGTTTGGCACGGTAGCACACAGATGGTTTGCTCTGAGTCCAAAGCCATCCTGAACTACATAGTGAGTTCAAGGTCGGCAGCAATGACACAAGCCTAAACTGAACCACTCCCAAAACAAACAAACAAACAAACAAACAAACAAACAAACAAGAAAAACAGATCAAACAACAATATCAAGCCAAAACCCCTCTGACAAAGTCACCAGCAGTGAGGGGTACCCAGTGCCCAGGGGACTGTTAGGTAATCCAGCAAGGACTTCAGGACGGTGAACCTGCAATTAAACTTCAAAGCCAGAAGGCCCCTTAGGGCAGCACTGTTTTTAAGTTCCAAGCCAAAGACCAGCTACCCGGGGAGAGGGGGTGGGCTGGGAAAGTCCGTCTACTAAGCCTTCAACTCTGCCCAGCAGGTCCTTCAGAGGCGTTGCTGATCCACTGACCCAAGGCTGCAGAGGTTTTAGACACCACCCTGTAGCTGCCCTGCCCTGCCCTGCCCTGCCCTGCCCTGCCTGGCTCTGGATGCTCTCATCAGCTGCCTCTGCAACAGAGGAAAGGTATCAGTGAGTCACTGTGCTCTCAGGAGCACATGACCTGGCTGTCTGGTCTGTGCTTTCGTATCTAGAGACTACATCCCTGCATAGCTGGACAGTCACCAGGGGCAGGGTGGACAGCATACCTTTTTAGCTGGGACTGGAAACAGTCTGCTCACAGCTCTACTGGGTTTTCTCCCCTGGAAGCCCTGTGGTATTGGCCTCAGAGCCCGGACTCAAACTTTGGGGACAGAATTTATATCTTCTCCCCATCGAACTCCAAAGTGACTGTGTATACTTTAAGGTGCTCATAGTCAGCCAGGCACCGTATCGCACTCCTGTAATCCCAGAAGCAGAGGCAGACTCTGTGAGACCAGCCTGGTGTACAAAGTGAGTCCAGGCCAGCTAAGACTATACAGAGAAACCCTGCCTCAAACAAACAAACAAACAAACAAAGATGATTATGGTCGGGGACTGAAGAGACAGCTCAGCGTTGAGATGGCTCAGTGTTAGGAGCACTGGCTGCTCTTCCAGAGGACCCCAGCTCAATTCCCAGCAACCACATGGCAGCTCACATCTGTCTGTAACTCCAGGTCCAGGGCATCTGACACCCTCACACAGATGTACATGCAGGCAAAACACCAATGGACATGAAATAAAAAGTAAATTTATAAATTTATTTTAAAAAAGGAGAAGATAAAAAAATAAATTAATTAAAAAAAAAAAAAAGGAGAAGATCGTGGTTCAGGTGTCAGTGGTGGGTCCCTGCAGAAGCTTCTGGAGCTTAAGCAGCTGGAAACCAGCCCTAAACGAGTCACCCAGAGCCAGTGAAGGCAGCGTACGTGGACAACTGACCCAGGTGCTGAGTCAGAACAGGCAGCGCCAGGGTGATAGATACCGGCTCAGGGCACTGCCTGAGCACGGGCAGAGGGGCCTCTCCTGCTCCGCTCTACACCACAGCCAGCTCAGAAAGGGGCATCCCTGGGCTTGGGTGAGCTTCTATGGCAGCACAAGGTAGCCATGGGGAGGGGACCACACCCCTAGCCCCAGGAGAGAACCATACTTGGCAAGTCCTTCAGCCCACCGGTTGGGTCTGGTGCAATAGTTAAGCAGAAGGGCACCTAGCCTTGGTGGTGTGAAGATGTCGGGCAGAAAGGGTGTGAGCGTGCAAAGTGTGAACACAGGAAGGGCTCCTCAGAACTCTGGGAAGCCTGTGGGGTCTGCCTGATCTCAGGGAGCCTGAAGCATTAACTGTCAGGCCCGTGACCCCCCTGAGCCCTGCGACCCCTTAGCTCCCGCTGCTCCTAGCAGAAGAGACTCTCAGTACTGCGGTGCTCCCGAAGGTGCCCACACCAGCAGCAAGTG